CGAGTCATTAACAAATTGGTACTCTGGAATTACAAGCAATTATTTTCCATTGTACGGGCTGGTATAAATTTCAAATCAAATCTCAATAAACGATTTTTATATTTTGTACACTAAGAATAACATATCGCACTTATTTTCTAGAATCAAATTGTAATCTGTTTTACTTATATTTATGTATTTTCATTTTGAACTTGCGCCTTGAACAACATATCAATTATTTTTCATAGTAATATATTATTAAATTTAGATAATATACACTTTATGTATGTTCATTTTGAACTGACACCTTTATTTTAATAATATATCAGTTACTTTTTATGATAATATATTATTTTAGATAATCATTTAAATTTTTAAAGGTTTAAATTTTTGAGGATCTTTTTTTGAACATGGCCTGAACTTTTCATTTTTATGATTTTTTGGGGATAAACGTTATGCTCTTCGAGAAAGTGTTGAAACTTCCTATGCGAAAGAAATTTGTGACCTCCTTTATTGGTATTAACAATTTTAGTAACCATTTGTATTGCGCTGCACAGTTTGACTACTTTCCCACATACCGCTTCTTGATGAATTATACAATGTATAAAAGGGAATTTTAAATCTCGTTGTCTTATTTGTCCAAGAAGTCCAGTTTTCAAGCCAGTCATTGCTCTCGCTCCATCAGTTACAACTGCTGAAAATCTTGAAAAATCAGTGCCAAATTTTTCAAAAGTTTGGTTGAAAGCTGTGAAGATATCACTGCCTGTTGTTGTTCCATGCAATGGAATAAAATCTAAAAACTCCTCGACATATGAAAAATTGTTGAAACAACCTAACTCCCGTTGCTTGTACGTAGTTCGTCGGTTAATGCGGTCGGAAACGCGAGAGGTTCGTATCGGAGAAGGAAGGCACTTACAATAATATTACGCGTGCAGGTAATTCCGCAGTGAACATTTATTTAATCAAGAAGAAACGGACATGTTAGTGTAATTATATATAATACGTGTAATTAGACAATGATAAAAGAAAGAATCATTAACGCAACATATATTAACGCAAAACGGCATATAATCCACGCGGCTGGACTTTGAACGCTACACAAAGATTAACGCAAAACGGCTTATAATACAGGCGGTCGGAATACGAATGCAAGAATTCGGAACGGAGGCGCGAACGCGGTAACATAAAATATATAAACGGTATGTACAACGCGTAAATGTAAGCTGCACCGTAACGCGAATGCTGGCAGCGAATCGGCGCGCGGCGTCGCGGTCCCGAAATCGTGGCGCGATTCACGGATAGCGGACCCGTGCGGTGGCGCGCCCTAGCTAGCTGACGCGCGAGCGCGGAAACGCGAATGCGAGTACGATACGGTGGCCACCCAATCGTGGCGCGGCGCGGGCGCGGCGCGTAGATCGCGCGAATGGGCGCGTTGGATCGCGTGGTTCAAACTCCCCGTGGTCGGCAGGATGTCAGGAACTCCTGACCGGAGACGGAGAACACTCTCCACCCCCGTTGGTCCGGCCGGACACGACTAGAGTCGGTACGGGATAGGAAGCTATCGGTGTACGTCCGGGAACACCCGGAAGGAGACTGAGAACGTCTCTCGACCCCCGTGTCGTTTAGACAGCGGTTCGGAAGCCCAGCGGTCACTGTCGGAGAACTCTCCGGGAGAGGCTAAGAACACTTGACCCCTCGTATTTCAGTGCGGCTGGTCAGGAGCTGGATAAGTCGGATTATGAGAAATGATCGGAAAGATCTGAGCTCTTTGGCATACAAATGCCAGCTTTTATACCCCGATGTTGTTCCCAATCGTATTGTTCCGTGGGCCTTCGGAGCTTCCCGCCGGTTTAGGCAATACGAGTGGGAGACACGCGTCCCGCGCGGGGATCAACGCCGCGAGTTCGGCGGATCTCGGTCCGCTTCGTCGATCCCCGCCGATCGCTGCTTCGGTACGTATGTCGGCGTAACGATCGGCGGTGTTCGGTCGCTTACACGAGTCGACGGCTGGTACCTAGGGATTATGTTTGTAATTTAAAAATGGTTCGGGCGCACCGCGCCCTCATCACTGCGATCCGACGGCTGTTTGGTCGGGAACGATGCTGTTTTACGGGGTCGCATCGTTACATTGTTTTGCACGATTCGAGCAAAAATACTCAGTTGACTCACATGTCGATTATCGGTGCTTTCATCAAGGCATAACGAGAAAAAAGAACATTCTAGTAAAAACTTTAATTCATCTTGTAAGGACGAAGCAATACAATTTATCCGAAATTTTACAGTGTTCTTACTTAATGGAATGCTAGCAGCTTCTTCAAGAGTCAATGAGCCCTCGAATGACTGTACTGCTGCGATGAGGCATTTCTTTACGAATTCACCATCCGTAAACGGTTTCGAATGTTTGGCAATAACATGGGATATAGCATATGATGCAGTAAGGGCTCTTGTTAAAGATGCAGTATTATCGACATAGAAATTGAATTACGACCTTCTTGATTAACTAATTTTAATCCCTCAATTAAATTATATTTCTCCTGGCCCACATATTTGGAATATTCATTCAATGTATATTATTGTAATGCCTACAAAGAATATATTTTTTTACAATAGAAGGTTGATAACCATAAAGAAGATAGGTGGTTTTATTGCAAATAAGTGCGAAAAAATTTCCTCCCAAGCCTTTTCGAAACATTGCTCATATTTTTGTTTCTTATCCATTCTTCCAGTATTAAAATAAATCTAATATTAAGCGATCACTATTACACATAATAACACTATCACTATCACACACAAATAGCACTTTCTGTCTTCACATACAATAAAAAATTTTCCGGCTGTAATCTCGCACAAAAGACCATCCACGTGCACATTTCACTACTGATTTAACCGTTACCGAAAAACAGTATCGAGGAAAAACAATTGCCTATCAACATGCAGCCTCGCGTGCAGCAACGTAAGGCTGTACGCATAGAGTGATTCAGAACAACCCGTGTTCTTGCAAAGACGTGTTCCTGACGATTTTTCCTCTACGAAAATTTTATCCGACGCTTACTTTTTGGGTTATTAAAGGATTAAGTTATCACAGGTCGAATCACAGGTCGCGTATAGAAGGTAGGCAGGGGCGGCGCACTGACCGTCTGACGCGACCACAAGGGGCACTCGTTCAGCCATCTAAGGACACAGAGTTACGTTTCACATAATAAACGCCCACACACACGCTGTATTGTTCACG